TAAATTACAAGAAATTGATCTACTGTTTTTCTTGTTTACACCTGTTTCTATGGAACTAGGGTTCGAAACCTCCATTACAAGTAACTTAACATCGAGCTCTTTTGTGAGGTACAAGTAGACTTAGTTTTGACGAGTGATAAAACTTCTGATGCTACATATAATCAGATAAACGTTAAATTGAGTCATTGGTCCTACGATATCCTCACCAATTCAATTTTCCAGGAAATTGTTGAATTTTGGAAATATCTGCAAAGGATCTCCAGAACAGCTTTTGACCTCGGGGCTGTAAAAATTAAATGTTTGATTCGTTAATGTCACTCTGCAAACAAAGGCCACAAAAGAACAAGCAAACGTTAATGTTTTGTGTTCATTAAGCAGGTTTCTTTTTATCTTTTGTTTGTGATCGGTTCGAATGGTATACGATTGTTTTTTGGTTGACAACAAACGTCGTGTTCGCTTCAAGTCCTTTGAACAGACATCGACAAGGATCCTGTGCTGGTCACGGCTTACTGTTGTGGAGAAATATGTTTGGCATCTTCTTCAGGATCTGATTCATATTGGCTTCGGAAAGAAAAAAAGATTAAAAGCTATGCTTTTTTAGATACAATACGTTGTCTTTAGGCAAAATTGTCAACGAGCACTTGTGCAGGGTATATCTAGAACGGAACTTAAACTTAAGAATCCTGCACACAGCATTCTGCACAAAGGGAAAAAATTCTTGAATGGACACACCATCTTAGCACAGTCATTCAAGAAGAGCCTGCCAAAATTACCGGCGAAATTTAAAAGCGTCCTATTACACCACTTGACCACGGAGCTATTTTAAAGAGTAATCTTCAATACTTCAATCTGAATCTGCTACAAAAGACAACGCAATGTGTTTACCGTGGGATTCCCATTCATCCGTTTATTCGTGGTTCGTTTGAATGGTGGGTGCTTCTGTGTTTGACAAGAAGTTTTTCGCTTTATTTGTTCAGGCGTTGACAAGCTGAGAACCTTAAAATAGGTAGTTCACTAATTCAAGCCAGGTGTGAAACGAAAAAAAGGCCTTTATTGTACATGTACGTGATCTAATAAGGAAGCGCGATCTGGAAATGGTACCTTCAGACCCATTGATCAGCGGGTTACGGGGTCAAATAATACAGTACCTAATGCTAGTCATGTGTATTAAGAATACAAAATACCGGAACCACGTTATCAGCGTACTACAGCTTTAACAACGCTTTGTGGTCTATGAAGAGAAAAGATTCAGAGAATAAGGTGTAAATAATTTGCCTTCAACTATTTAATCCGTGAGAAGTGAAAACAGTATCAAAGTTATTGTTCCATAAACAAAATTTGAACAATATTAACAAAAATTAAAAACCAAAACAGATCCACAAGCTATCATTGCTGGTTGCCGAGAGGTTTAGGGGACCAAGTTTCCCATATAATGTTTTTCAAGGGTTGGGTTCCACCGGTGATCTATGCTTTACCCACAAGCTTGCAACGAAAACGGTTATTGATTGATATTATTCTTGCAGACCTAGGGAGCTGCTAACGAATGGAGCCGAGCATAGCTAAGATTCATTTAGAACTACACTTCAGCCAATAAACAGTTGTTATAACGTTTGCATTTTCAGTTCGTACTTCTGAGTCGATGAGTTTTGACTTAAGGCGCGAGAAACGTCGGTGAACACTACTTTAGCTCTTTTATACACAGAAACGTTGACGATTTCAAAATCTGGAATCCATGAATTCTATATTAGAAAAAAAAAAAACTGTTTTGGATGCGCTATAAGACAAAGATAAAAGTATTGTACAAGCAAAAATCGGTGCACAGGCAAATATTGTTTTAGTTCTTAGTCCTCATTTCTCGTTTGTCAATTTGCTCAGCAAGGTGGCCTGGCTACAAATTAGCGCTTAGATTTTTCTCTTCGCTTGTAACGCTGTCTGTGGACTTCGGAAAGTGTCGTACTTTTCACTGCAGCTCAGTTCTTATTTTCATTCATTGCCTTTATTTCTCCGTTTTGCTAGGAAAACGGTTTCTGTCATCCATGCTCCATCGTCATTGTGTTTTTACGATTCCATTCATAAAAATTACTTATTTTAAAACTACTAGTGAAAGAAAATCAAAAGATGATAATCGAAGCGGCAACAAAAACAAAACTCGCGATTAAAGCACTTTTCCCGTTTCTTGTCTCGCTCGACTTACGATTTGTCTTTCGCTCCCGTTCACCTTTTCCCGGTTTAGTCTGTTTCCGTTACCGTTACCGTTAAAATGAATTATCTCATGATCTATGGCTTCAGTACCATCCGAGTTAAAAATAAATCTGCAATTGTAATATATCTCTTATCTCATCAGGATTTTAGTGCAATCATTTTAGCTGTAAATGAAAATTACTCAAGCATTCAACTGAGCGATAAAGTTGTGAACACACGAACAACAAACTACTTTTCTTTGTCAAACTCAAGTGTGCGTGTGCACAAATGAACAAAATTAATCATGTTCCCGCGATCCTTTTTTACTCTCCACAAGTGTAAATTTTCCCATAATAAGCTCTTGTTATTGAGTTGGAATTGGCAAGGAAAAAAAAAACCCGCGAATCTAATAGCAGAAATCGCTTCCGGTACAGGACTCCCTTGCAACGGTGTAAACAATTCTTGAATTTTTATATTTCGTTTATTCGGATGAAAACGATTGATTTATTTGGAGACCATGCAATAGGAACTCATAAATTTAGGCTCCCTTTACCAAGTTCAAAGGGCAGAGACAAAATCTAAAAGATAATTTTACCCCTTTGACCTTGCAGCTGTTGTTAGTTAGATCTTTGGTACCCGTTCTAGGGGCCACTATGTTGACATGTGACGTGATCCACAGACAATAGATATTTCCCTCTAGAGATAAATTGTTTTTAAAACATTACTTTCTTGTGTTGTAACTGTGCCAGTGGCTCTTTCTTCCATATTGTTATCCCAACCTAGCGTATGAACAAAGTGGAAAAACCTGTCGAGGTGTAGACTAAACTAGAATCGGCGAAAGAATCGCCTTCAAATACCTCACACTGGTTTATTTGTTCACACGAACAGCAGTTTGTTCAAAATCAAATACGGTTTAGGATATATTTCGCTAGTAGGGCAGCTTAGTGATTAAGATTTGCCGAGAGAATGACATTGAATTCGACGAGCTTGTCTTGTAAGCACGTGTAAAGTACCGGCCTATAGTAAGGCGGGTTTGTTAATTAGAGAGCTATCTATTCTTTAGTAAACACTTTAAGAGATATTGTTGTGTTATACTTACCTTTAAGGCCCTATGGTTATTGCCTTTCCTTTCTCAGTCCCGGGCCAGAATCAAGGGTCACAATTCCGAGCGGAACAATTACTTAAAAAAAAACTCGTAAACCTACTCATGGGTGGTCAGTCTTAACAAGAGAAACCTTCGCACCGTATGCCGTACGCATGGGCAACGTTGCGATTCGAGTTGCGCGCAAATGATCTCAGCGGAGTGGTATGACTTCACTTGACCCTCGAGTGATCAGACTTGTTCTACGCACTAAAGCGTCGAATAGAAGAAAACTTCGAAGACACTTTCTACACAGGGTGTGCGACATCTGATATTCTTGAAATGCGAGGCATTCAGACTCGCTCTCACCAGTCAATGATCCGTGAGGGACGCGCTGTTGGTGCGAAACGAGGAATGGAGTGAACCATCGGCGGAGACAACGGCTTTTTCAGTCTTTAATGTACTGTTTCACACACTCCATATACGTAAGACATCAGTGATTCCGAGTGGCTCTATCAAATGGTTATACTTAAGAATCTTCGTTATGGCTATAGATCATCAGTGTTAGCAGTAATTAATATTCTGTAATATATCTTTATAATGTATGCTAAGTAGCCTTCAGAAAGCAGGTTGTGTGTTGTACGTGTGGTGATTGTATGGTAGGGTAGGCAAACTTTTTCTGAAACGTTGTAAATTGCCCGTTGTGTTAAAAAAACTCCCGATCCTTGTAAAAATCATGTCTTAATTTGTGTTAATTTCATCTTCAGGATATTGTTTATTGAACTGATAGAGACTGCGTAAAGTGTACGACTTTCACTAAACCTTTCGAAGGAGCAAGTGCTTGTTCTGGTTGAGTAATGAATGTCTATCAATTATTAGGCTGGCGGCTATATCTCCGGTTTTTGTGCCAGTAAGCGACCAGGAGTATTCCTTCTCCTGCCTAGATCGAGTGTTTCTTCATCGCAGGGTATTCCTTAGGATTTAATTCCCCGGTGTTCACTTAAACACCCGGGTGGAGGAGTGCACTGCTCAGTGAAGTGCATTCCCGAACAAAACAGCACAATGATACCGGCTTCAACCCGTAACACTCAATCTGTCCACGCGTTAACTTTAAGGACCTCGAGGTCACCGCGGCTACCACCCAGGAAATTAAAGCATATTATAATCCATCAAATATTTTTACTCGCGCGCGATTGGTCTAAACACGTTACGTGACTGAATATTCCCCAGCTAAAACTGGAGAATATCCGAGGGATATTTCCTAATTTTCAAAACAGCGCGTGTTGAGAAGAATATTTCAAGGATAACAAAGACAATAGCCTCCATCTGGCGCGAAAGTATAGAGGATATTACACGGTGGCGAGAAGATATGAATTTTATGTCTGTATAGCAAGAACAATATCAAGAACAATATAAGAGATATTGTTCTTGCCACGAGAACATAAAATTCATATCTTCGAGCTAACGTGTAATGTTCTTTTTATTATATAGACATACTAATGACGGTGTTGTTGACGATATTCCGAAGATTTCCGACCACTTTCCAAAGATTTCTGAAGATTCTCCAAAACTTGTCCGAAGGTCACACGAACTTTGCCGAACATTT